TTATCTGAAACTTTCACTTCTTAGTTATAAGAAAATGTGCAGTGGTGTGGACAAAATTGTATATTACATGTTTTGGGTTTGTTGGCCTAGTTAACCCATAGGCCGCTTTGCGTGGTTAGAACTGGTTACGTTATGGGGATGTTATGAGTTAATTATTTTTAGAGTTCAAGTGGCTTATCCCCCAAGGTACGATTATATGTTGTTGTTTTCTGATTGTTTTTTTTTTTTTTTTGTGGTTCTATATGCATTACGGTCAGTTTATTGCTTTGCTGTTTTTTTGGGTGCGAAGAAGGTTATTTTAAAGTTCATTACAGAGTTAGTAATTGAAATTACATCTATTACAAAAAGTCACTAGATTTTTGACCCGCGCTTTTTAAGAGCGGGTACAATTTTGTTGGAGGACACCAACAATCTGAGCCTTACAAATAATTGTTTTAGTGTTTTTAGTAATCTTGTACATGTTGGATTATCGATTAAAGCCACTTCTAATAGAAAATGGTAATAGTTTGAAGATGTCTTTACCTTTTCATCAAGGAACAGAAGCGTGATTCTTATAAATTTGATATATTTTTGATGTTGTGGGGATCCCTGAAGCGGAGGAGGCGACCAACTGTGAACTGAGTTTACGTCGAGAGAGTCGAAAGTTGAGTGGTGGCCGCCAATATGAGTAAGAGGAGCACCAGAGGAAGACGTTTTCGAAGAGATGTTAGAAGCTGCGTCTAGTAGAAGAATCAATGAGATTTTTTGATATGAAGGGTTTCTCCGTTTAAGATCATATATATATATATATATATATATATATATATATGAGGAATTACATAGGTGTTAATAATCAGGGTCATTAATAAAAAGATGAGTAAAGATGGGGAGATCTAAAGATTGAATCAGCTAAACTGCTCCATGGAAATTCAAAGAGGCATATGTGTTTCTCAGATAAAAAGATGACGGAAAGGACGATTAAAACCCTAGATTTGCCATCAAAGAGGCATATGTTCCTTTTAATATAGTTAGATTGGGGAACATTGGAAACAAAATAACCTTAATTTTATAAGTAAATTACCAGAGAACCAGCTGATGTATCAAACTATTAGGCCTTCTTAGCCTTGAATTTAAACACCATCTAATACTATAGTATTTACATATAATACCATTGAAACTTGCCTGCCCAAATCTAAAATGCATTATTTTTAGAACTATACTTTATCATTTGTCTTACTTCTACCTTATTTAATATTTCTCTTTCATTCTATTCTAACATTAATCACTTGACAAGCCGGTTGCACTTTACAATCCCTTGTGTACCATTCTCCTTCCTATTGATAATGTGCCTACATTAAAAAAAAAAGAGTTACATGGTTAGAAAAATATAAAAGTTTTAAACACTGAATCCAGTTGTGAACTGAATCATAAGTCCCTTAGCTGTGTGCTAATCCATTATTTAGTCATAAACATTTAACTACCCTTCCCAAAATACAATGTATACAATAAGCTGAATTACCTTACAGTGTTTCCTCTATTTCCAAAGCAAAACCAGAGACACCGTTTGAATCTGTATATAATAAGACCACCTCCAATTTGACCAAAAAATAAAAATAAAATAAGACCATCTAAATCAGTAGTCTTTAGGAGGGGTTTTAAAGAAAAATTAGATTTTTGATCTGCGCTTAAAAAGCGCAGATATCATTTTTGTTATTTTATCTAAGATGGATCGATAAATCTGTTATTTTGATGATATAAAATGTCACTATCTAATATAATTTTTTAAAATTAATGCAGATTTTAATTTATTGTTATCATCAGTATCTATGTAAATATATTGTATGTAATTATGTAGTTTTACGATGGAAAATAATATCAATTAACTATGTCTGGTGTTGAGAAACGGGTCAAATTCTCCTTGCCTGACCCACAAAGAAAATATATTTTTATCTGCATCTGTCCCATTTAATTTTACGGATAATCCGAGGAACACGCAGATAATTATTAAATAATAAAAACAATTATTTTTTATTATTAAATATTATATTTTTAATTAAATTTTTAATATTTAAAATATAAGAATTATTTTAACGAAATTTAGTATATTTTTGAAAAATAAACTTTTTCAAAAAAAATTGTTTTTCTATTTTTTCGGATTACCAAGTACCCGCAATCGAAATTAGAAAATCTGCACCCGTTTCGCGTAAAATACACTTGACCAGCACCCGCAACTTATTTTTTTCATATCGATCGACCCGTTTCGTGGCGGGTCAAACGGGGCGAGACTCGCGGGCTAATATCAAAATTCTCAGCTCTAACTACGCCAATTAAGGTTGATGGGTTTATTTCTAAAGATATTTCAGAAATAATTAAAAAGTGAACTGAGTCTATTAATGAAACCCACTATTATATAGTTTTTAGGCCCAAAAAATAAAAGAGAAAATTGTCATTAATGAAAATTAAATTTGTTCATAAGATTAAGAGTAAATTTAGAAAAAATAAATTATTAATTAAAGAGAATGCTTCTATTTTAATGGTACTGAAGAAAAACAAATAAATAAAAATACCTAATAATGAAAGAACGAGTGTCTATTATGGGCTTTTAAGAATTAGTAAGAGCATCTCCATCAGCAAATGGGGGGGGATTCGATTTCCAAAGTTATTTATTTATTTATTTTATTTTTTAAAAAAAATATTAATAATAATAATAATAATAATAATAATAATAATAATAATAATAATAATAATAATAATTGAACCAATCACGGTCTGTCACGTAATATGGGGCCCATGAAAGAATGATGAAACGGATTCATTGTCGAAACCTCCTACAAGACAGGTTCACTAATACGGATTTTTTTTTTTTTTTTTTGGAATCTGTGTGAATCCCCGTAGTTTCACTAATGGGATGCTCTAACGACATTTACGTGTCATTTTTTATGGACCTCTTCTTTATATCTCTCTCTCTCCCCACTTGTTCGATCTTGATCTGAAGTCACATTTTTTCTAATTTCAATTTCTTATTCTCTAAATACAAACGTTTATATCACTCCTTTCAGTTGAAAATCACCTATCAACAACCACCGCCAATTTAAGAATCCTTATTCGGGAACTTTAATAGGAAACTCATCTGATCGACAATGCTAGCGAAAAAATTTATGTAAAGCTACACAAGCCAATACTAATTCTACTTGTGTCTTGAAAGAAAATGGAGGAGCAAATTTAAATATTAAAAATCGTGATTTGAATATTCCAAATATTCTCTCAATCACATCTTTTAAAGAGGCATGATGACGATTAAATAATTCATGTGGAATTTCAGAATCACAACCTTGGCCAGTAAACTTTTGAAGATGATATTTATTTGGGAGTGTGCGGACACTTACCCTGTAACTAGGGACGTTGTTTGTTTCTATAAGTGACGTGCTTGTTATATGTTAGGATTAAATAATATTTATTCGGATTGCTATTTTAGAGTCTATGGATTTTGGATTTAACATTCTATACTTCACTGAATGATTCCCTTATTGCTCACCCATTTTTCTTACCCATTTTAGGTGAGACAGACGAATATAAGATATTTGAACGGATACGTTTTTCATACGGATTTTATTTGGGTTTAAGATGAGTGGAAATTGAGTTATGAGATGTATGTCGCTAGATGTTGTTGGTGGCATACTGAGTTCTCAGGAGAGGATGAGGTGGATGTTACATAACAAACCAGAGATGATCAGACCAATCTGAAAACAAAACATACCGAAACAAAAGTTAAAGAAAAACAATATGACAACTCTTCTGTTATGCAACACGATAAATGATGGGGTTCATCAGTTCATGTCATAGCCTAGCGTGCAGCAGGGGTCACTTGAGTCCCGAAATCAACAGTCAATTGTAAGAAGTCCTTTGAGTCATCATCTTGAATCTGTCCTCCTGTCCTCAAACTCTCAGAGACCAAACACTCTTTAAGCACGTTAACAACTTTCGACATGTTTGGTCTGTCAGATGAAGAATGATTCACGCATGACATTGCTAGTTCGAGAAGCTTCCAGACTGTATTAGAGTCATAATCTCGACCAAGGTTTGGGTCAACGATTTTCTCAATATCTCCTCTGCTTATAAGAACCTTGACCCATTCTGCTATGTGGGCTTTTTCTCGAGCTCGCTCAATCACATATTGGTTTGTGATGATTTCCATGAGTACAATACCAAAACTGTAGACATCGCTCTTCTCATTTAACAAATTTGTTTGGTAGTATCTGGACAATATAGAGAGTTATATTTTTATGGAAACTTAATGATCTAAAATAATTTGAAGTTACACTAGTTGGCTATGTATTAGAGAACTTACTCAGGATCAAGATATCCAGGTGTTCCTGCAACTACTGTTGCTACTTGAGTTTCAGCTCCCACGGAAAATGATCTTGAAAGTCCAAAATCTGCAAGTTTGGCCTCGAAGCGATCGTCTAATAGTAAATTTGTACTTTTGACATCTCTATGAACCATTGGCGGCTCGCATCCAACATGCAGATACTCCAAACCTATATGAACATAATATCATTTCCATGTAGAGACATCGTAGTTAAGTTGGTATTAGATCTTAAAATATACCGAAATTGTAGTTATCAAGAATTTACCTTGTGCCGACTCGAGAGCAATTTTTAGTCTCGTAGCGCATGTCAAAGTAGATCCAGCGGATTCTCCTGTAAATGAAAATGGTAATATCCTTACATGCCGAAGGCATCAAAGTTATCGGTTCATAGACTAACAAAGACACGTATTAATTGTAAAATGATTAGTTACCTGATAGATGGTGTTTAAGGTCCCCATTTGCCATGTACTCATAGATAAGTGCCAAATGGCCTCCTTCATCACAGTATCCAACAAGGCTTACCAAGTTTATGTGATGGACTCGTAAAAGAAGCTCCACCTTTTGGATCCATTTCATACATATGAAACTCTCTCAGTATGACTTAAAAACTAGTTTTTTAGATCAAACAAAGTGGAACAATGTTATAACCTACCTCTGCCTTAAATTCCTTATAGCCTTGAACTGATGATTCGGAGAGAACTTTGACAGCGACTGGTTCGCTACCACTCAAAGAACCGTAGTAGACAACTCCAAACCCTCCTTCTCCAAGGACTTCTTTGAAGTTGTCTGTAAGTTCTACTACCTCTGAATAAGTGAACCTTTTCTTTTTGGAAAAGATTGATCGCTTTCTTGGTAACTCGGGTGTAGCAGTTGTGCCTGTACATGCAAAGAGCAATGCCATTATTATATACTATGGACTTAACGGGTTATGAAGTCTTTGTGTTCTTCTTCATCAATGATTCTACATATGTATTACCTTCTGATAAGGTGGTTTTCTTTCTGAAAACAAAAATGAGAACCAACAAGGCGACAAGAGCAGCGACTGAAGCAACCGATGCAATTACTGGAATTAAGAGTACTTTCTTGCTCTTATTGTTGCCTGAGCCGGAGGGAAAAAGATTTGGATTTCCTTGAATACTACAGAACAAGAAAGTTACTAAATACAGTAGAAACTACTTTTATCACTATTAGATAAATTTCCTTGATATTATTTGTGAAGTGATTTACACATTTTCTTTCCACAATCACTTTAACTAAAAGTTGTAACATGAAATTACTAAAAAGGTTGACAAGGCTTATGGCTAAATGTGATATGAACAAATAATTAATGATGATTTTTATTTCTGTTAAAATTTTAGAATATGGTAATAATTCATACATCATTATTAATATATATATATATATATATATTCAAATATGATATTATATAATATAATAAGAAAATATAAAATATTTTACAGATTTTGAGATATTATTCAAGTTTATTTTTATAATCATAAGAAAATTATTACAAAAAAAGATTTTCAAAATGTAGTATATTTTTAGTCAATTAAAAAATTATAAATTTTAATCATACTATCATTTGTTTCTTTTGATATCTACAAATTTTAGAAATTCTCTTTAGTTTACTTTTTGATAATTATTCTAAATCATTTTTTAAAAAAAATACAAGTTGATCAATATACTTTAAATAAAAGAAATAAATGAAATTCTATCTGAGGTTATAATTTTAAATATATGCATGTCTCTTCTTAAATATAATTTAAAATAATCAAAGTATAATAAATCTTAACTTTCTGTTTAACTAAATCAATATTTATATTAAAATATTGGTATAAAAAGAATAAAATAAATATTGACAAATTTTAATTTTTAAATACAAATTAAATTTAAAAATCTATTGGTGCCCATGATGTAGGAAAACACATTGTGATGAATATGAACAAATGAATTTTTTTTTTTCGTGACAAAAAAAAAGAACAAATGAATTTTTTTTTTGGAATTAGGCTAGTTCAAAATAGAATATAATTTGAGAAAAAATAATGTAATGAGTTTTGGAAAATCCTATACAAATATATTTCAGAGTAAACGATGTATTATAAACAAATAGTTTAAATTATATTATGTTTTAAATTTTACTAAAATAAGTGAAAAATTATTAATTTCACCATTTTTGTTCTTTAGGGCTGTTCTTATTAAATGTGATTTATATAAATTTATTACTTAATTTACTGAAGTTATACTGTATACAATATTATCTTGAAAAAATAAAATTGTTAGGGATAAATTTAATTACGTCAATTTCAGGCCTTTCTTTTCTCTTTCACGAAGGGCTTGCGGAATTGGACCGGTTAAGCTATTCCACCCTAAGTCTCTGTCAAAACATAGAACATATATATACATCATTCATATCATGTATACATCAAAAGAGAAGCATTATAATATGTCAGCTATGACACATGTCATCACGAGAATGATTCGCAAAATTTTCTTTTTAAAATGTTAATCTATATAAAATATAATATATTTTTCATTAAATTAACCATAAAGATATTATTAATGCCTTTCATTTCCTTCTTAAATAAAATTTTAAAAATTACCTAATGTGGTTAAAATATATATATATATATATATATATATATATATATATATAACAATTAATGACTTGGATAAGAAATAGTTGATAACAGTTTGTGTAGTTTATATTCTTTTTCTTAAATTTATATTGTGATAATAAATTAAAAATTCACATTACCTATATAATAAAATAATTTAGATTTCTTCATATATATATTATATTTTGAATTTTAAAAAAGGATTATATATTAATAAAATCTTTAAAAATTCACATAGAATATTTTTGATTAATAGTTTAATCTATTTGTTATAACAAATAAAAAGGTTTATAAAATTAACGAGTAAGGGTATCATTTAATAGATATTTAGAATATATAAATTTAGTGACGTTTAAATTAAATTTTATATCATCTAAAATTTTACAAATACTTTTTGTGTCAAAATACATAAATATTTTATTTTCAAAATTTTCACTAACAAATATTGAAAAATTAATACTTTAATATCAAACTTTGAATTGATCTTTGAAAAATGATTATGAACTGCTATAAATATTAAATATCTCACATTGAAAATTATGTTATCAATTTTTCTAAAAATTGCTATAAAAATATACAAATGACATAAAGGAATATAAGTATGAAGTTTTATTTACTAGATAGCCAATAAAAAATATACTATATATATATGTTAATATCATTTTCTGTTTAGATTTACTTATATAAAGCGATTATAAACAAACAAGTGTGATTTTTAATGTGTTCGCGCTAATTTAATTACATATATAATAGTTACTGATTTCTCATTTGTTTATATACATATATAATTCTTATCATGCGTAATGTACATGTCTTAACCTAATATATATATATATATATATATATATATATAGTTTGTGAAAATAAGATATTGTTTTCCAGGAAATATACTCACATGATCAACAATGATTCCATGTTGGCTAGAAACTCAGGCACTCCTCCTGTCAGATTATTATTTGACAAATCCCTAGCATTTGATTAAGACAAAATATTAAGAAGCAATCTAAGAGCTTAAACAAAACAAACTATTAACTCACAGTTCTCGTAGATGGGTTAGGTTTTGTATGCTAGAGGATATGACGCCGTTTAGTCCACTTGATGATAGGTGTCTGGTTATATGAATACACACATATTCAGGGATTTAAAATATGTAACTGAATTTTTTTACTGTATGATCTTACAAGGCTATGATTCTTGGTGGAATAGAAGCATTTGTGTAGCTGCAATTTATACCCTCCCATTTGAACAACCGAGGAGCACACGGATCTCCTTGCCAGTCAATTCTTCTCAGTTCGTAAGTATCTCGAACATTCTTGACCGCAGCAACTGACAGTAAAATCCAAACAAATTACACAAAATATCGAGTTTTGCCAGTGATGATTCGATTTGACTAACCATCTTGTAGATTAGTTTCTGCATCTGGGAATTCTATAACTATATATGCTTCCATAGCACTGATCATTGGTGGGAGAGTTGATCTTTGAGTCATAACTAGCTCAACTTCACAGCCGAAACATGTCATAGGCAATGGGTTCCATAGAGTCTCTAGTTGTAACCTAGGAGGACGATAAGCTTTTCTTTCAAAGTTATCGTCCTTTCCAATCCAAGTAATGTCGAATTCTCTTGTTTCGTTGCCTGCAAGCGTTTGTATCTCAGCGAAATGAAGATATATGATTGCTTGATCTCCTTTGTCATCGTTTTCAGAAAACCAGCGAAAAGTTAACTTCTCCGTCACGTTTGTATTAGTGGCTGCCTTTGAAATGACTTCTTGTGGTAGATCATAAGGTGTAGAAGTGTTTACATTGACACTTGTTTTTGAAAAATTCATTGTAAGGAAACCCATCGGCTTCCATTCACGATCATATACATCTGCAGGATACCTGAACATTAATAAACAAAAAAAAAATAATCAATCTTCAAAAAAAATTTGCTAGTAAAGTAAGAAACAAAAAATTACCTGATAAAGTCACCAAGAATATTGGCAGCGTAACTGCGTTTTACGAGCTTCAAGGAACCAATTGTAGTGATGTACGTGTCATGTCTCAAGGGTCTTAGTTCCAAGGCTGAAATGATTGGTGTAGTTTCCCCTGTTTTAACAAGACAAATCTGCAAAGAGCTTGACCTTGCTATGTGTATGATCTCTTCTTTTTGAGAAAAATGAGTATCTTCTACATCGACTGTTGTCCATATGTTAGCACCAATATACAAATCGAATTTTGGGAGAACATCAAGCCCGTCGTAATTCCCGTAGAGGAATACAGCTCTGATAAGATATTTAGTGCCTGAAATGACTTTTAGATCATAGCAGTTTCTTATTCCTTCTGGAAAATATCTTAGTAATTTCCATGGCCCAAATCCTCTTTCCCGAACCTTTTCTGTTTTACCGAGCTGGCCACCTTGGGTGAAATTTGCGTCAGATATGAATGTTAATCCAGTCACTCGTTCGGTATAAGAAGATGCCGTGGGGGGTAATCCGCAATCCAAGTTGATGAAACCTAGTAAGAGATGACGTAGAGTATATAGAAGAAACAAAGATAAATATAAATTTCACGAACAGAGCACTGTACCTTTTGGATCAGACTGAGCTTGAATTAGATGTGTAGTAGTTCCTATTGCCATAATGATTAAAGCTAGCACAAGTCCTTGAATAATCTCCATCTTATGAGGAGTTTTAAGACAAGAAGAAAACAGATTTCGCCTGTCTGTTTATTTATAAGGATTGTCTTGTACTGTCAGGTACATATAAATTTCTTTATGATGGATCAATAATAGATAGTTGTCTCATTAATCCATAGATATGTAGAGGCTCAAATGACCTTATTATATCATTGACTTTTGGATTATACGAGTTTGTATAGGTAATAGAAATAAACAGAAGAACTGGTCACCATGACCACACAACGTGCTTACTACCGTTTTCCCCAATGGGTTATTTTTTTAGCTCCAATCCTGTTTTTCAAAGACACAATAGCATGATGTTATAAAAGATGGTGTTATAAAACTCAAAGGAGTAAGATACGTTTTTGGTCTCTCTCAGCCTTTAGACAATATTATACAGAGATATTAGATTTTTAATCCACGCTTAAAAGCGGCGATACCATTTTTATTGTTTTATCTAAAGATTGATCGATAAGTCTTTTACTTTGATGATATACAATGTCATTATCTAATATAATTTTTTTAAAATTAATGCAGATTTTAATTTATTGTTATCATAAATATCTTATTTAAATGTATTGTATGTAATTGTGTAGTTTTACTACGGGAAAATAATATCAATTAACCATGTCTGGTGCTGGGAAGCGAGTCAAATTCGCCTTGCCTGACTCGCCTGACGTGCAAAGAAAATATATTTTATCTTCATTCGTCCAACTTAATTTTACGCGTAATCCGCGGAACCCGCAGATAATTATTAAATAATAAAAATAATTATTTTTATTATTAAATAGTATATTTTAAAATTTTAATATTTAAAATAGAATAATTATTTTAAGAAAATTTAGTATATCTATTTTTTCGGATTACAGGGTACTAGCAAATAAAATTAGAACAATCCGCACTCGTTCCGCGTAAAATACATTTGACCCGCATCTACACCCGTAACTTAACTTTTTCAAATCGATCAATTTGTTCCGTGGCGGTCAAACGGGGTGAAATTCGCGGGCTAATATCAAAGGTCTCAGTTCTAACTACGCCAATTAAGGTTGATGTGTTTATTTTTAAAGAAATTTCAGATTTAATTAAAATGTGAATTGAGCCCATTAATGAAACTAATTAGTATATAGTTTTTCGGCCCAAAAAGAATAGACAAAATTGCCATTAATGAAAAATAAAATTTGTTCACAAGATTATGGGTAAATTTGGAAAAAATAAATCTTTCATTAAAAAAATGTTTCTGTTTTAATGGTATTGATGCACAAAGTTCAACGCATTGATGTGATATTATTTTAACAATTTTTAACCATTATAATCAATGTTGGAGGCGAAAAAAATCTTATATTTCAAAACAAAAGTGATCGCTTAACTTCATGTGTGAATTTTTAAAATTTAGACTTATTCCTAGAAAATATCAAATTTTACATAAGTTCATTATTATTTTTTTTGATATCTTTATATATTTAGAGGCCCATAATATTATTTGAAATACAAATGAATATATTTAAAAAGTTCTAACAAAATCTTTTAAAAATCTCTTTAGAATCTTTTTAAATTTACTTTAAAAAATTAGTTAATTTTACTTTAAATTATCATAAAATATCATTAGAAAATAAATTTAATTTAGTTTTGGTTTATAACGAATATTAAAATTCAAATACTTTAATCATATTCATTCATAATAAAAAATGAAATTGTTTAATTTCAAAATACATTCTACTAATAATTTTAAAAGATTTGTTTAAAATAAATATTTATTTTTTAATTGTTTTAAATATATATATAATCTATTAAAATAAAATTCATGATTTTTTATGTGTGATTTTTATATTTAGACCATCATTCAATTTTTTTGTTAAATGTATATCCTTAATGCTAATAATATAAAATATTTTTAACTACTTTAATCATAATATCTTTTGATACTTATGAATTTAAATATATATATAAATTCTAGCAAATTTTTTGAAAAAGATTATAAAAATATCTTAATTGTCAAAAATTAAACATAAAGATTTTCACTAATTTCATAATTAATCATGAAATGTTATTATACATTGATAATTATATCCTATTTTATATTTTCTAATAATATCTATCATTTTAAAAGAAAATCATTATATTGAATTAAATATGATAATTGTTTTTGAAATTAATATGTTAATATATTTATGTTAATAAATATAAAAGATTTATTCTAAAAATATAATATGTTCGTTGAACGGGTTACATTCGTAAACTATATAATTCACGTATAAAAGTCAATTTATCTAACTTTTATATACAGTAATTTATTATATAAAATGAATAAATATAAAAAAATTTGATAATCTACCGTTTTGAATTATGGGTTACGATCATAATAAATTATAATTTTTTTTCAAATATGTTGTTTCATACATAAGAAATTGGTTTAATAATTAAACGCAAATTCAATAAAAAAATATATATATAAAAAGAAGAAACATATATATGGGATGATTTGAATTTACATCATAAAAACTATAAAATTATTGTAATTCAAATAATTATACAAATATTTATATATAAACAGGAAAATATATACCAACATGGTTGTGCATGTCAAAATATAGTTGATATTAAAATATGAGTTATTCAATTGAGGAGAAATTATCTTTTCAAGTATAGTTCTCGTAGTTTACCTTTTAATTATTTTTTTTGTTACCGATTAATTATGCATTACAAACTATAAAAACATTATATGGATGATATTAAAACCGATAATTCTACATGCTGATATGTGTAGTTTTATCAGTTTTTATCATTTGTTTTCAGTCTTTTATTTTCAGAGATTGCATTAGGTGTTATTAGAAATTGCATAGTACATAATTTCATATACAAGGGACGGGAATCATAATCATCAATTATTGGGAAAATTCGAAGATATTCTGTAACAAATAGATTACTTTATTTTCATAGATTTTCACAATATACAAAATTCTCTACAACTTTTTCCAAATTTAACAAATCTCTCAACTTTTAAAATCAACAAACTCTACAGAAATTTAAGTCCCACTAATAGCCCCTAAGTTACAACTTAAAAATATTCCTCAAATAATATATATAAGAGATACTTAATTGTAGCATTGATTATAAATAAAATAATACAATATTTGTTAAGGCAAAAAGTTGGTAGGTAAATGTGTTTAATAGAAGTTCATTGTTGAGCAAGTTATAAGGGCTTGATTGGTATAGCATTATAATCTCTATTATCTAATCAACATTTATCAAAGCAGCATTTAGAAAAACATTTACCAAATACTAATGCTCTCCAAATGTTATTTGCTTAATGATCTCATATAGAGCTTTTGCAAATTATTTTTTTTAATAATATAAAAAATATTTGTATAATCAAAAAATAAATAGATATTTTAAAAATAAGAATAAAAATTATAATTATTTTTTGTTATTTTTTGTTATTTTTTGTTATTTTTTAAAAGAAAAATATTTCTCATTTAAAATATAATATAATTTATGTAATTACAGATGTTGTTCATTATTTTTAATAACAAACATAACATAATATATATTTATATATTATACATATAAACATACTATTTAGACACTACTAACTAAATTATATAACATTTATCAACTTTTATGATAATTTTATATATAAATCATTTACTGCTTGACCAATAAATAAATAATAAGAATTTATATATAAATTACATATAATTTCTTTATTTATTTAATAATATTAAAATATGTTTATATCCAAAAATAATTTAATATTTTAAAATAAAATTTAAAGTTTAAATATAATTTATATATTAAATAAGATTCTTATTTTTAATAACAAATATATTATTAATATATATTATAAATATATAAATATTATTTTAAAAGAAATATATTATTATATTAATTATTATGATATTTTAAAATTGTATACTCCTACTGTTCTGCCAATTATTTTATTAAAAATTTTAATGTAATCATACAACTGCTGCTGCATATTGTTACTGCTTTATCATTTGTCATACCAATTGAGACCTAAGTATATTATCCTAATATCATGTAATAACCCTTGGATTTTAAGGGCCTGTAAATGAGAACGTATCCATCAAGGGAATTTCATAAACCTTCACATGCTTGTTTGGTTGCTTGATGTGGTGTTCTTGGATACAAAAAAAGAGGATGAAAAATCCTAAGCTACCTCAGCCATATTTTGTTGTTTTCTCTTGTTTTTAGATTTGAAACTCTTGTTAGTTCTTAAATCTAATCTATGTACCTATCTTGTTTTTATCTTTTCTATTTTTCTCTAAAAGTGATTTTTCAAAGATTGGTAACAGATTTTTGGGTTTCATTTATAGTGAGTAGGTTTTTAGAGCTTTTAGGTTGGTAGATTACAATGAGAGGTGGATGATTGGTGATCCTTAAGACTAGAATACCATTGTTATAAGCTTGTTAGGTGTTCTTAATGCTAAATTAGACTTAATCTCCCTCGTCTAGATCTTAAGATATTTCACGCCTGAAAGGGTGCTTGTTGAAATGATTGAACCAACCTAAGATTGTCCTTTACTTATTGGCCAACGGAAGTTGATGCACGAGATGTCTAGAGGTTATTTGACTTGTGATTCATGCATGCTTGATTACGTTAGGCCAACGAAAGTTGATGCTTAATTCATAATTAGCATAGAGATTTCTGTCACGAAAGTGAATTAATTTATTTAAACGAGATCTAGACCTTTAGAATATTTTTTAGTCAATGATGTCTGGTATCTAAACCTGTTAAAAAACATGCTAAAGCTTTGCTAAGGTGTGAGGTGACCTTAGTTCAGAGGATCACCGCCTCGAGGAGGTGAAGCAAGGCGAATTCGAGTAAGCATCGCTTCAACCTCGCCTCAAGCCGCCTTTGATGCCTCACGTCTCATCATGCTTCATTTCTTATACAACTAAAGTTAAAATTCCTATCACAAGTTATTAACATATAGTATTCACATTTTTTATGGTTTCAAAACTTCAATTCACTTAAAGCTAATTAATGTCTTTACATTTTTCAATAAATCTTTTCATGCGTGACTTTCATTTAAATCTATATTCTTTTTCTGGTTCTATAAATCATTTGTTTCTACGTCTATGAAAACTTAGGTTTACGTTTAGTTTTTTTTAAGGTTTTGTTGGTTTGATTCTCTTTTTTTTTTTGAAGAATGTCGGATCAATTCTATTTATGCTCTGTTTTTTTTTTATCGTCTGAAATCAATCGCAAAATTAATACAAAGTTATTGCAAGCAATGTAAAGGAACCAAACAACACAAAAGGAAATACTAATATATTTTAAATTTTAATTATTTAGGATGCTGCCAAAGAAAGGAAGAACATGAAGGATCTATGTACTAACCACTAATCATACATGTATTGTTCAGCCTACGTCTTAGGTTGGTGAGGCGTTCTAAAGCGACGCTACAGCTTTGAGGCAGGTTTGACCTTCCTCACCGCCTTAAGGATTGAGGCGCTATTTTAAATCCATATTAGCTTTTAGTCGTCTTCATATTTCACTAGCTTGGATATCATCTTACCTCTTTATTTGTTTAATTTAAAGAGATCTGTGTATTCTTAGTGTTACCAATTACTAGTTCTATGTGGATTCAATTTTAAAATGCTACTTCGATATACCATTCGATTGTGGTAGCGTGAACATTAGGTTAATTGGTATGTGCTAAAACACAGAACATTTCGTACCTTAAGCGGATTCACGTCTGACTGCATCACCTTGACCCGTCTTATAAGATCCATTCCTAACGATACTCCTTACATCAAACTGAAGATATCGTGTAAATATTTTTTCTAATATTCTGCGTAATTCTCCTTTTCCGAAAATTGAAACTCGGATCACTTGATGTAGAAACATTAATGAATCCTTGGTCAAACCAAAGGACCAAGGTGCTTCTACAATTAAATTTAAACTTATATAGTGTTTAATTAGAAAAAACATTGATGTGGAAAGATAGGTGATATTATATTAGTTTCAAGGATTTTATAGTTTTTTCTTTTAGTTTGTCATAGTAATTTAGCTGATTTTCATAGTATTTATAGTGTCAAGAGTTTTACACGTTTTTGATCAAAAAAGGGTACAAAGCGGAGAAACACACATTTTTGGACAGTTTGAAAAGATCAGTTGAAATGAAAAAGGAAAATTACTTATAATAACACATTTTGTCAAAAATTACTAGAATAACATAATAAAAAAAAATATGCGAGAAAATATGCATGCCTTGACGAAAAGTCTTCCAAATATTATAAACCTGCTATAATAAGATAAAAATCTGCTATTAAAATCTGTCAATTCAAAAAAAAAAACCTTCTGACGAAATTAAATCTACCATCATGTGGTATACGATATGAAGTATGCCACATTAAGTCTAGTTAAAAAATCAATCTGTCAAATACTAATAAAACTATCATAACTTTTTTTTAACAGCAGACTTATATACATATTTCGAAAATAACTTTTTTTTTAGGAAATTTTCTGTAAATATTTTTTTTGTTAACAAAGAAAATAAGAACATTTTCGGCATAAAAAATATTCTAGTAATTAAAAAAATATATGTTATTCTAGTAATAATAACGTAAATTGATGATATTTTAGTAATCTTCCCAATGAAATTTTGCATTCTTTTTCCATCATTTGTCATTAGAAAACTCAAGAGCTAATCATGCTTTAGCTGGACTAGTTAAATGATTAATCTGTCATAAATGAGATTCGATAAAAAGGGAATGAAACAAAAGTACAGAGAAAAATCATATGGTAATACCAAAATTAATATATAAGTTTTTCGATCATTTCAATCTAATTCAGTAATTATCATATAGAATGGAACCCATGGATCAAGTAAAACTGACTTGAGATTGAGAACCAATTAATAGTTGAGTGGTCGGGGCCGTTATGCATCAAACTCTAGAATGGTCTCGGAGATGGCATTCCAAAGAAAGTTTTTGAAAAGCTACATGTAATCATATACAATGCAACATATATTAAAACTATATTCGAATGTATCAATTATGAAATATGTTATGAAATTTAAGCTTTTTTATTTGATATAATTCTTTTTCGAGTTGACTTTTTAATGTCTTGACAGATTGCTGGAGGAAATATCCTACACATGACGGAGTCTCGTGAACATAGATTAAACATCAACTGGGTTGCTTTGTTTCCACGATCTCAACATGGAAAGTGGTAATAGAATTTACCCATTCTTTTTTTTTTGTCAGCGACAGTTCATATTTTTTTGGTTTTTGCTAAAACCTGTTTTTAAATAAATCCAATACAGCGAACCTTGGTTCGAATTCCACTGTTCACATGGATATGGGTTATTACTTTCGATCCATTTGAATGTCCAAAAGAGGGTCTATTCGTGGCTGTACCTCTACCCGAAGATTAGATCTGTGCCGGGTTTAACCCTTTTTTCTAAAAAAAAAAAAACCTGTTTTTAATGTTATTGCAGTAGTTCTCAATACAAAGCTTTCATTGTTCATTTCACGAAGCAAGACCTTGCTGTGCCCTTTCCATAGGAACTTTCCAAGAAGATGAAAAGCCATATTTTGTTGGCTATGATTGGAACCTTTGCTGTTATGGTTGGAGCCCAGAGTCAAGAAGGTAATAAATCATATTCTGACATGTTTTTCATATTCTGACATGTTTTACATCAACGATTTTAGGCTGAATGCGATATCTTCTATGTATACTTGTTTCTAAGTTCCATTTATCACTTTTATGTCTGCACAGGTTTCATAAGCTTTGATTGCGGACTTCCTATTGAGGAATCTCCTTATAGTGATCAGTCTACTGGATTAACATTTACATCGGACTCTACAGTTATACAGACGGGTAAAAGTGTCAAACTTGATACCGACATCATGGCAAGATTGGAAAAACCTTATTTGACGACACTAAGATATTTTCCGGAAGGGAAACGTAACTGTTATAGCCTGAGTGTCAAGCGTGGCACATATTATCTCATCTCGGTTAATTTCGTATATGGAAATTATGATGGTCTTAATGTTTATCCAAATTTCGATCTCTATCTTGGTCCTGATAAGTGGGCAATCATAGATTTGGAAGGGAGACAAAACGGTACAAACGAGGAGATCATACACAAAGTTATGTCAAACTCTTTGGATCTTTGTCTTGTTAAGACAGGGGCATCAGCGCCAGTGATATCAACCATAGAACTACGGCCACTGAGAGATGATATTTACCTCACGCAATCGGGCTCACTCAGGACGTCTTTCCGGATCTATTATAGCAATTCCCACAAGAAGATAAGGTAAGTTGACATTGTTCTTAAAAAAAAATGACATTGTTTGAAACTTCTTAAAAATAACTATATATTGATCTGTGCATCTGCACGGTTTATTTTCCATCTATATATAAAAATATTAATGTTTATATTCTAAAAAATTATGAGTAAGTTGCAAATATTTTTTGCATTATTTTTTGCAAACTCTGTAATATATATAAATATTTTTCTTAGATACTAGAATAGTAATATTTTCTTTTTGAAGATCTGAAACTGATAAGGGAAATTCTTTCAACTAGTATTTTTTTAAGTTTTTGTCACAAAAATAGTCTTCAAAAATAAAATGACCCAAATAGTTTTTTTTTTGTTTTGAAATTTGTAATATTTATTTTCTATTTTTTAAAATTAAAAATCTTAAACCTAAAATTCCATCTTTTGACTCTAAACCATAAGTCTAGATTAGTTAACTCAAACTATATATAAATGCATATTTATTCTTTAATAAAAAATATTTTGGTTATTTTTTTTTCTTGAAAGCTATTTTTGTGAATATAAACTAAAATGTACTATCCAATATAATTTCTCACCTAATAATCCCCTAAATTATTCCAAACTGTTCCAGATTAATAATATTTTTTTAAGTATTCAGAAATTATATTTTATAAACTATAATTAACATGGAAATCACCTACACAAATTAACCCAAAAACTCTAGAAACAAAGGGTCCGATTGGTTGCAGCTGTAGATTTATATTTTGACTGTAGAATCTTTGCTGTAGGATTTTGTGCTATAGCTGTAAGATTTTTAGCTGTGAATTTTCAAAGAAAGTATGATTGGTTAATATTAACATTGTACATATATATTAAAATTAAAATTTATTATATTAACATTAAAATAAAATAATAATATCTTAAAATTAAAATTTCTAAATTGATTAATTATTGTATAAACTGTAAAATTATTATGATATAAATTAAAATATCAAATTTTTATTTATATATATGTATGTGAAAGTTTTATTTATATACCGTTTATATGTATACATATTATTTGAAAGATTTTTGTGAATTATATATGTAAGATATATATAATTATATTATATTAATAAAATATATTACTATATATGAAAAGAGATGTACGTACTTTTTTTTTTGGTTAAAAAGATGTACGTACTTTTATAGAAAAGTGGAAAACTATTTTCAAAAGCAGTTGAGAGAGTGCTCTAGAAAATTAGCTCTCTACAGCCATAAAATAAAAGAAAAAACAGATATGGCTGTGAGATTAAAAAAATTAATCAAAGCTTGATTGCTTTTGTTTTAGTGCTGTGGAGACATTTGAAGCTGTGCACAGCACACACAGCTTTGTCCAATCACCCTCAAAACCCTTGAATGAGAAAAGCGGATTTCGAAAACAGATTTCGAATCATATATAGATTAATATAAATTTAATTTTACATAAGCATCTGGTTATTATCTTCAAAATCTTAATTCTTTAGTTTTGTGTTTGATAAATATTTATAATGAACTCAAAGCATTTCATACGTATAAACAACTCACTAATATATATAATTATACGTTTCATTAGCAGTATGGAAGGTAGTGTACTTAAAACTGAATACAAACATAATCACACATACTGACATACACAACCTCTATATATAGAAACCTACTAAATACTGAACTATGAATATTTTCGGATATTCTTGTTGTGCGATCTAGTTTTAGTGTGTGTGAATATAATCTTCTAGATAGTCCTTGTTATATCTTGTCTGGTGAGTTCGAGTCCAATAATCAAGACACCGCTACCACCTTCGTTTCTTCCGGCGGTGCCTTTAGCCATGGGCACCGAGCCATCTCTTACTTACTTTCGAGCTCCTCCTCCATCTCCACTTGTTTCTCGATTTGTCTCATCGTTTTCTCCGTCTCTGCTTATGTCGCTCCTCAAGTCGACCGCTTGTCGCCGTGAGTAGCAGCGCTTGTCTTCAGCTTTACAGGTTGGGCTTCACCGGAGCCGAATCTTTCTGAGGGGTTCCCCTTTTCTTCTCCGTTCTCACCAGCGCTTATCGACAACTATCCACCCTCTTTTGGGTGTAAACATCGCTCGTTCCCTCGGATCTGGGCCCCGAATCTACCGCAAGCTCCGCTGTCTGCTTTGGGGAGTTGTCTTCTTCCTCATTGGGGAGGCGATAACCTCAGAGAAAGTCTGCTGTCGCGTTCAATCTTATTTCATCCGTCTTTTCTTTCTCCTACGAGGGCAGGTCATCAACCTTACTGGGCTGGGCTCTCATTGGGCAGGTCATCAACCTTACTGGGCTGGGCTCTCATTGGGCAGGTCATCAACCAATAGATATGATTTGCCTCTATTCCAATCCAACAGTTTCAATACCTGTTTGGTTAATTTGTTAACGATTATTGGTGGGTTTATGGGGATTTTTACAAATCTTGTTTGCACGCTTGCCTTACTTTTCTAGTGCAAAGAGTTTACTATTTACTCATTTACCAGTGCGTTCACTGGAATCATCATCTTCATCATCACTTCCTCCCTTGCACCGTATTATCCCATGCCTCCTCTTTGAGGAGTGTTTCCCATCCAAATATTATATTGATGTGCATGTCAATATCTATAACCGTTTTGTTATCTTGTGTAACATTCGGGCTTGAAAATGTAACGAATTTCGTTACAATATCCCGAGTTGCGGACTGAATAGTAATGTTACAACTTAAAGTGACTAAGCTTTCGATAGTGTCGTTAACCTTTCTTCGATTCATTGGCGACTTACTTGAATTCACTGTCTCTTTAATTTGTCTTAGAGTTGTAGGTTGTTCTTATGTTGTAGTGGTTTATGTTTGTGGAGTTTTCTTTTGTGGAGTTATATAATGAAAGTAGTGTTCGACGACAAGAAGTCTTTATAATGAAACGTTGGATTCTTTAATTATCTCCATCGAGATGGTAGAATTTCAGGTCTATCAATACCTGAATCCCACTGTAGATCAAAGTAGTGAATCAAAATTTAAGATTCATGCATGGACGTTAATAGACATTATTGTTTCTTCTATTTTCATAACAATATACTCTAGTCAATGAATGAGAGTATAATGTTATGAAAAGAGAAATATAAATTTATTTGTGCTATATGAACATTATAATATATAGGAATATAATATTTTGGAGAAATATTATACAATTTAACAGATTTCGCTAATACACAGTTTAATTTTAGGTACATTGATGACGTCTATGATCGTGTTTGGACTCCATTCTTCAGCCCTTCATTTACGCAGATAACAACTAGTCTCAATATAAACAGTTCTGATGCATTCGCGTTATCAAGAAGTGTACTCGAAAGTGCTGCCACGCCTACAAACGCTAGTAAGCCACTGGTCATCACCTGGACACCCCAACCCTCCGATGTTGAAGTGTACTTATACATGCACTTTGCCGAGATAGAAATCCTCCAAGCCAACGAGACTAGGGAATTCAACGTTATCTTGAAAGGAAACTTTAATCATTCAGTTGTTAAACTACCCAAGCTAGAGATTCATACAGTATACACTGATGAACCAGTACATTGTGGTTCTGACGGCTGCAATTTACAGTTAGTCAAAACTCCGAACTCAACTCTTCCACCTTTGATCAACGCTCTCGAGGCATACACTGTTATTGAATTCCCACAATTGGAAACAAGCCCAAGTGACGGTACTCCCAAACTTTCACTAATTAAAATGAATGAATATTTATTTCTCACATGTGGTATTGAAGTTTTCGTTCTCTAACGTTTATGTTAGTTACTGCTATCAAAAACATCAAAGCTACATATCGTCTAAGTAAAATCAGCTGGCAAGGAGATCCGTGTCTCCCTCAAGAATTTTCTTGGGAAAATCTAAGATGCTCTTACATAAATACCATCACCCCACCAAGAATTGTTTCCTTGTAAAGGCCATTCACAAACATAATCCAGTATTTGAAACTAATGTACCTATAGTATAGTGTATTAAATTTGTTGCTTTGATTGCAGAAATTTGTCAGCAAGTGGATTAACTGGAAGCATACCTCTAAATTTACAGAATCTAACCCAGATAAAAGAACTGTAAACTTTTCTTATTCTTGAATCATCTAAGAAAAGATTATTTTTTTCCGAGTTATACTTGGGTTCACCCCTTATGATTTATCCAAGTATTTAGAGTTTATGATTAAGGGTTTAGTGTTTAGGATTTATGATTTATCCAATGGTCCAGGGTTTATCCAAAGATTTATTATTTAGGATTTATAGTTTAGTGTTTTGTTTAAAGAAAATCTTTTTATTTTGGCTACTACTATTATTTTTAGATTTTATTTTAAAGATATAATATAACTTTGCAAATTTTTATTAATTTTTCTTTTTTTTTATAAATACAAGATTTTGATCAGTGCATCTGCACTATAGTTCATCGTAAGGGTGAACTCAAGAAAAACTTCTTTTTCTTTTTTTTACTTAAGCTACATGTAAGCCAACCTTGCAGAATTATATATGCGTGCGCAGGGACTTGTCCAATAACAGCTTGACTGGACATGTACCTGTTTTTCTTGCCAATATTAAGTCACTGTCTTTGATGTAAGTTTTCTAGAAATCAGTATGGACATTTTGACTGTGAACATATACATACACTTTGTACATATACACAGGCACAAATCACTGTTTTCTTTGCCTCAACAGAAACTTAAGTTGGAACAATCTAAGCGGTTCAGTTCCTCAGCCTCTGCTTGATAAAGAAAAGGAAGGACTTGTGCTGAGGTAAGATTTTTTTTATTTTCCTTTACATTCATTGATTTTCTTTAGTTAAATAAAATGGTAGCATTTTTACTTTGGGTGTATTCGATTATGATCATTCTAATGTTTTTGTCGCATTGATTAATTTAACACCTTAAGTATAACATGTTCATTGTAGACTTGAAGGAAATCCAAATCTATACAGATTTACTTCGTTCAGCCCAAAACAGAAAAAGGGGTTCTTGCTACCGGCTATTGCATCGACTGCTTCTCTGCTTGTTTTAGTGGTGGTTGTGGCTCTTATTATTTTTTACCGAAAGAAGAAGATGCCTTCAAGTGAGTCCCGAGCCACTGAGGCACTGATAATTAAAAATGTTGTAAAATCAATGATTTAGTTGCATAACCAAATACTTAACTGTGTAGACGCTCCACCGAGTATGCCCATAGCCGATGATGGGAACACTAGCCAGTCAAAAACTTATTTTCCATCGGAAAAGATTAGGTTTACTTATACCGAGGTTCAAGAAATGACAAATAACTTGGAAAGAGCTCTTGGCGAAGGAGGGTTTGGAGTCGTTTATCATGGTTGTGTCAATGGTACCCAACAAGTGGCTGTTAAATTGCTATCTCAGTCGTCATCTCAAGGCTATAAACATTTCAAGGCAGAGGTACTCTTTATTCCCACTTATCTTCTATGGAAATCCAATGATGTGTGTATCGTATTTATATTGTACAAGAGAAATAGCTAATAGATGATTGACTAGGTGGACCTGCTCATGAGAGTTCACCATATAAATTTGGTGAGTCTTGTTGGGTATTGTGATGAAGGAGACCACTTAGCCCTCATCTACCAGTACATGTCAAATGGAGACTTGAAGCAACATTTGTCAGGTAATAGACATATTTACTGATTTTTGCAATGAATGAACCACGATGTCTAAAGCTTTATTTGAAATAAAGTCACACTTTGAGCAATCTGAAACTTTTATGATTGATATAGGAAAGCATGGAGGAGTCGTCCTCAGCTGGGAAAGCAGACTAAAAATAGCAGTGAATGCAGCTCTAGGTATGCACTAATTAGTTACTCATGAAACTTTAAGCCAATTGTTTAGTTAAGAATTCTGTAAGGAACACTGTGTTACAATAGAATGCAATGGATCTTATTCCTAAAGACAGTCTATGAAACACTTCATTCAACAATGTATAGCCAAAATGTTAATAACATGAAAGTCATTTCATAGGATTGGAGTATCTGCACACTGGATGCAAACCACCAATGGTTCACAGAGACATAAAATGTACAAATATACTTTTGGATGAACGTTTACAAGCTAAATTAGCCGATTTTGGGCTTTCGAGATCTTTTCCTATTGGAAGTGAAACATATGAATCAACAGCTGTTGCTGGAACTCCAGGCTATCTTGATCCTGAGTGAGTATTTACTTTATATGCGAAGATGTTAGTCTAAAAATTTGCATCTCTTTCGATAATTAAGAGAGGATAAAACCATATTTATGTCGTATTTGTAGGTATTATCACACAAATCGGCTGACAGAGAAAAGTGATGTATTTAGTTTTGGAATTGTTCTGTTAGAGATCATCACAAACCGTCCTGTAATTGACCATTCCCGTGATAAGCCCCACATAGCCGAATGGGTTGAGTCTATGATAAGAAAGGGTGATATTGGAAATATTATGGATCCGAACCTCCACCAAGATTATGACATTGGCTCTGTCTGGAAAGCTATTGAATTAGCGAGGACATGTGTGAGTCTTATTTCAACAAGAAGACCAAACATGTCTCGAGTTGTTAATGATCTAAAAGAGTGTCTGATATCTGAAAACTCAAAGTCAGGAGATAGTCCCGGAATGAACTCGATGAGTTCTATCAAATTGAGCACGGATATTGACGAGACGGATATGATACCTAAAGCACGCTAATATTGGCCAAATGTACCTAAAGCACGAAGAAAATGTTACATATCTACGATTCTTTTTTTTTTCTATGAAAATATGTTACTGTTCTTTTTGTTATACGTTTTCCTTAAAGATTATTTCAAGTTCTTAAAACGCTAGTAACAGAAATAAACCCAATTATTGAGGAAAGCTGACATTTCGTCTAGTCAAAAACTGGCTTCAAAAACTAACATGCAAGACTACCTCCAGTATCTGTCTATTATTCCAATTCACATAAATTGAAAGAAAACAACAAATCTAACATAAATTCATATTGTTCAAATTGGTTTTTGCAGCCAGAAGCTGTATATGTCTTTCTTTGTCCTCCAAAATGTGCATTGTGTAATTATTTCATACAAGTTGATTCTTAGTGTAGAGTATATATGGAAATATGATTTTTTAAATATCTTGAGGCTAATGCCCTAGTTGTAATCGTGTATATATTATGTACAAACCTCTCTTAATAGAATCAATTGAGTCATTTCCTTATACTTAGTCACCAATCAGTTCAGCGAATCACTAACACAGTTTTTTTTATATTATTAGAGTTTCTCTGCCTCTGGACCTAATCTCGTAAAAATAATGTAGACATTGGTTATTCACATAGTTCACCTTATTAATATCATGTATTTTGACTTTCGCTAAGATATTGAGATGTTAGCATAGGTTGGACCGAACATTTAGGATTCATAATCATAAAAAGTAAGGAAACAATTAGGCCCCACATATTCCAAACTAATTCTGAATAAGAACCGAAAGTTACATTTGATGAAGATCTTGCAGGTCAATCAGATATCAGTGCCAGAGGATTAGTAAATGGACCAGTATTAACATTACATTGTGTCGAATATAATAAGTTCTCGCCTAACTCAGATGCCTATGAATTTAAGCTCGCTTGCATTGCATCCACAATCCACTAGCCTAACCCAATCACAGATAAGCCCTGTTCGTTTTTGAGACGCAGTCTCAGCACCGAGCAGCAAGGAAATATAAAAGGATTTCAAATTCCAGGTCAGCAACAAATTAGAACAGAGAGCTAAAAGTTAGTAATATTTGAGACGCAGCTTCGGCGTCAGCCGCTAATATTTACAGCGTCGATGAAAACACGGACACGATCACTGGTTATAGTCGCCGGCGATAACTTACTATCCGACGCTGCAATCAAATTTCTCCATCTTGTTTGTTAATAATAGCCGCTTGACGCTGCGTTCGCGTCAACATAAAGAACAGGGCTATAGATAAAACATGGACGGTCACGCGGTATCGGGTGCAAATACAGAATTTGTAACTTCTCTTTTTATGTTATATATGAGTTTTATAAGTATCCCCTAGCTGGATTCCAGTTTAATATATAGTATCTCCTGGTATGATTATTTTGTATTCTTTCTACTTTCGAGTACTGAGAAAGGCTCGCAGCTGCAAGCCGTTCTCGTCTCGTTCACCACCCAGGTGACTGTTTTCGTGGTGGATCTGTTCATTGTTGTCTTGATGATTTAACTTCGCAGACTTAGCTTCTTTCATATTTTTCCGCGTGATTGTAAAACCCTGCCTACGCCTGGGTCGATCGAATATGAGTTCTGAGATTTATATGCTTATGAGTTGTGAATTCTGATGATTCAGATCCGATCTACGACCACCGCGAAAAAATAATACATATATATACTACTAGTTTCTGAGAGACACATGACAATAATGCACTAGAAAAAATAAAGTCACCGTAGAAATTAATATTTAACAAAATTTATTTTAATAGAATCAACTGAAAAATTGTATCAATCAAGAAAACAACAATATAATAAAATCTCTATATATAAAGAATAGTTTCCTCCCTCCTCCCTCTGCCATGTCACTAATTCAACTCATCCCGATGTGCCACGTGTCCAAGGCGCGGAAACGCTGCGTTCCACATCGTATCACATAATATGGGCTTTTTTGTGTTTTCTGGCCAGAATGATTTCGCAAGGCCCGTGAAATGTGTGAAGTCATGTTGCGTCTCCTTCCCCTGCTAAATTAGGGTTATTCTTCTGAACTCCCGAAAGCCGTCAAGAAGTTTACAGCATAGCTCTATGTGTGAGTCGTCGTGAAATTTAATGGATCAAGATCAGGTTTCTCTCTCTGAAGAAGAAACTGAAATTAGCTTCCATCGTGAAAGTACATGTGAGGATATGAACTTCTAGCTATGTCAATTATCCTATAATTTCGAATAATTGTGTTCGTAGTTGCTATGTTACTAACAAAATCATTGCATTTGGAGATGTAGATGGGTTACCCAGAAGAATGGTCTCTTTTGGGCAGAGATCATTCAAAGTTTTTGTAAGGAGCAACTGAAGCCTTGAAAGCCAGCACGCTTCGTTTTCCACTTATTGGAAAAGCTGTGGTGAGTCTTTGTTTGGCATACTTTGTATCATTAGAGTCCATTTTAAGTTTGCTTTTTAAAATTTTTGTGTTGTTAGCTTGATATTCTATCTCAAGCATATTGGTAATTTAGCTGTTGAAGTCCTGTACCGTCTGACGTGTTCCATATTCTGGCTGATATTAAACGTAAATTTCTTTTCTCAGGAATTATAAAGATCTTATGAAACCTATCCTCTTATCGTTTCTCTGTTCAATGTCTCTTATGGATGGAAGAATATAAATTTAGAATGCAAACAATAGCTGCAACGTACTCCCTATGTGCACGTACTGCAGAGGAGGTGGTTTTCATGAGAGTATAGAGATGCATACAATTATCATAATAGCTATTATTAAATATAAAATGGAAACTAGCTGTTAGTTCGTTCTTATACGCATATGTCCAGAAGCTGAAAACTGAATTGTTTCGAGTCTTTGCTGCTCGGTGTCATGTGGACCTTATCTAAATGCAGGTTTTTTAATTGTTTGCTGTCATTGGTAGGTAGATGAAATGAATTCAGTAATTGCGGAAATGATGAATATCACTGCACAAGAAACAATCTTGCTCAAACAATGTCAAGGATTCTTATCAATAATAGCAGCTATGCAGGTTAGAGAGTGATCTCTCTGCATGAATATCAATAGTCCACAAAAAAAAGAGAGAGTGATCTCTCTGCTCTCGGCTTTTTTCTTCCCATTTACATTTTCCTTCATGATCAAGATTTTATAAGAAAATCAATGGCTCTTGAGGTTAAGGACTGTAGCATGATGATGCACATAATACATCTAAGCTGGACACTGACTTCACGACTGTAGAAACTGATTGGTTTTCCAGGGCTTTTGATTTCTTAAACTTTGTTTCAAGTTTTTCAATTTCAATAATTAATACCCGTTAGCACAAGTTGCCTGCTTAGCTTAGCTTTTAAAAGCTTAACAGAAGAGCCTCATCAGATATACCTTATTACATACTATAACTACTAAAATTTAACACAAATGGAAACATATGTTTATTCTAGACAACATGCTCACAAGTATGGTATTAAACAGCATATCTCCACAACAAAATAATTTAAAAAGTCAGAGATTATACTTGACTTGAAAGCTATTACTAGCACCATCCGAACATTAAAAAATATCATTCAACAACCTAAGTTTCCACTACAAATGGTGTGTGGTACAAAAAGTTCACACACGATTCACAAACCACAAAATGAAAAGTTTTTTAATACAATATCATATCATTACTCAGACCACAATACAATAATGAAGAGACAAACTCAAACAGAAAAAAAAACAGATTTAATGATCTATCTCTTAAGCTCCATGCCATCTGGTGGAATAATTGCCATTTCCTTAGTCTCCACCTCTTTCCAGTCAAATAAATAACAAGTAGTTAAACCAAAAGACCGATTGATCAGCTCATAAATGGGATCGATGCGACCAGTGGCGGGGGTACGGCTAACATAAGAAGCTCATCCGACCACAATAATACACACAAAAATAAATCGAAACTGTAAATCAATTGTCAACAAATAAAAGATTTCGTATGAACCATGTGTTCACCAAGATTGAGACCTCATAAGAAGAATAGGAAAATTTTATATATTTTCTAACTTAATCGTTGACTTTTATTACATTTATATTCACAAAAATAAAGTAAATTTAAAATCAATAGCGTATGAAATTTAACAAAAAAAAATTAGTCCTTTAAATCCTAGAATGTTTTAAAAAATGGAAATAAAATAATAAAAATGAATAATAAAAATATTAAAAATAAATTTCAAAATTGGAAATAAACTAAATATTGTTTTTTTCTTACTTTCCGCCCGTAGGGCGGGCCTACCCTAGTAAATAAATAAAGAATAAGCATACGATAGTAAAACTAAAACGTGTTTAATTGCATTGTATATCTTTTACCTAACTGTTAATTTTATAAACGGATTTAAAAAATAAAACCCCAAAAGAAAACAAACCATGATCATTAAGTTGCATAAATGTAAATATCATTGTGTAAAGCAGACCACTCACTCAAAAAAATGAATACAACTCAAAGAACAAAAAATAAAGACAAACCAGAGATGATCAGACCAATCTGAAAACAAAACATACCGAAACAAAAGTTAAAGAAAAACAATATGACAACTCTTCTGTTATGCAACACGATAAATGATGGGGTTCATCAGTTCATGTCATAGCCTAGCGTGCAGCAGGGGTCACTTGAGTCCCGAAATCAACAGTCACTTGTAAGAAGTCCTTTGAGTCATCATCTTGAATCTGTCCTCCTGTCCTCAAACTCTCAGAGACCAAACACTCTTTAAGCACGTTAACAACTTTCGACATGTTTGGTCTGTCAGATGAAGAATGATTCACGCATGATATTGCTAGTTCAAGAATCTTCCAGGCTATATTAGAGTCATAATTTCGACCAAGGTTTGGGTCAACGATTTTCTCAATATCTCCTCTGCTTATAAGAACTTTTAGCCAATCTGCTATATGAGTTTTTTCTCGAGCTCGCTCAACCACTGCTCGGTTTGTGATGATCTCCATAAGTACGATACCGAAACTGTAGACATCGCTCTTTTCATTTAACCCAT